TTCAAAGCACCCGTGGGAAAAAAATTGCCTCTAGAATTACCACTATTAAGAAATTAGAAAGATAATATTTATAAAAAGGCTAATTGGTTTTATATCCCTGAAAAAAAAACATTTATGAAAAAAAAAATTACTATCCTGCCAACTCCCTAATATTTCTGGCTAGTATTCCAGTCAAATCTCCATTGAACATTCGAAAAATATTTGTACTATATATTTCACAATCATTTGATTAACGTGTTTAAAAAATTACATATTGAGAAAGCAAGTCAGTATGAGAGGGGGGAGTACACGTGAGTGTTTGGGATTTGGAAAGATCCTGACGGTAAAGATGACAAGGATTTAGTTTTTGGGGGGAGAGTAACAGCTCATGAAGAGGCTGTCAGAGAGAAGGATCTGGGTCTCAGAAGGAGTCTGGCATCAAATACGCTTTCAGGGAGAAGGAAAGTAATATTATTTTATGAGAATTCATAAGTTGGGAAAAAAAATTAGGAGATGCATCGATAGATCACCTATAGAACATGAGTTTTGATAGAGTTCAATGACTTTAATATGAAATTATTCGATTCTACTAATGAAGACTAATCAGTGCTGTGAGCACTGATAATCCTCTGTCGCTTCTTGTTTTTTTATTCAGGCGTAATGATTTATCAGTACAAGATAGATCATTCCATTTGAGCCTAAATAAGGCAAGCAACTTGAAGATGATTCATCAACACCACATTTCCTCTCTAATGAAATAAAAATAAGAACATTTACTTATTTATGGGTTTTCCTCGATGTAGCACTAGTGTTGAATTCACAACAGTTCAACCTCTCTCACAAAGACGTCAACTGGCCAGAGAGTAATCCGACATAAATAAGTTCAATGATCTGATAACAGGAATCCAACAGCAAAGCTTTCCAATCAAGCTGATAGACCAAAAAAATGATTGCTGAGCAGTAGACTGGAACTGCATTCGCCAACGAATTTCTTCTAGCTTTGGGTGCTCTGAGAACTGATTAACCTGCCCACCAAAAATATCATCAAGGCAGTAAATGGTACAAAAGAGGTACTTCTGACAGAAGATGCAGCGCCATCAGTACCCTTCTCAATGTAAGAATGTAGCTGGGGAAGTAATGTTGTGATCGATCATCCAGTACTAAAGTTACCCAATCTCATCAGAAAAGTACAGCACTCAGAACACTCGGAACAAGAAAAGTTCGAGACTACTATAAGAGGAAAAAAAACACCCAGCTAAGAAGATGCGAAAAGAAAACACATTTTAGAAAACAATTGAAGAGCTTACAGATCCTCTTAACCACTCTGCATAAAGAAAGGTGTGCGAGCAAGAAGACTAGGGTTCTCCATAGGACATGAAATAAAGGCCAATCCAAGGAAGAATTGCATGTCATCTTTTAAGCTAGTTACTCTCTTCATTCAATGTTCACTCTACAAATAACTCAGAAGGGAAAGCACTGATAATTTCAACCAAGGAAAATGGTTGTGAGATTCCGAATTGTCGCCCAATACAACCGAGATTAGCTGAGTTCTGGCCACTTCTTCAAAGGAGTCCGGATAGGAAGAGCTCTGACTTTGATCATCCGAGTTGGCTGAGTTAAATCGGAAATAGCTAATTCAGAAAGCCATAATTCAGACAATAACATTATATGAGTAAGTCCAGCGTCAACCCCGTTTCCAAAAGAAGAAAGCAATAAAGAAGTAAACAGAAGAGAAAATCTGGCGCAAAAACATCAAGAGAGGCACCTTAAAAACTGAAAGTGTTGGACGAGCAAGTTCGTCATCCAAGTTGATGATGGAGACTCCTACACAGAAACTGCCAGTGTGCTCAATCGTCGCCCAAATCAATCAGTCCTACAATACCAACAGTAATCTTCTATTTAATATATACTGTCCATGAATGAGATTAAGACATTGGTGCCTTTGGATAATTGAATAAAGAAAAAAACGAAACTTCATGAGCCCTGAAATTATGGGCACTGAAATTATGGAGTGGTAGTCAAACTCTCTTTCTCACTGGAATGATATCAAATTATGTACTGAAAATGATCATGAAAGATCCAAAAGAGTTGAGAGCATCAGAGGAGCTACGTGACATGATAGTCAACCATTTCAGTCGAAGTCACCCGCTTCTGTGACCATATGAACGGCAAAGGACTAAAATGTACCCAAGTAGCTCTTGATATGCCGATAGCTAGACCGGAAATTTATTTTTAAAAAAATATATTGTTCCATTCAGCCAACTGTAATAGAGAATTAAAAAAGTGTAGGGATTTGAGCTGTCATGACCTGAAATATTTTTCATGCTCACCTAGTGGCCGCCATATTATTACTATTATACTATTTATTAGCCTCATCGTCGTGATCATAGTCGTTCTGTTCTTGCGACACATTTTATACTTGTTACATCTTGAAAACTAACCTAGTTCGGACACAGCACCATGTCTGATCTGAAGCATATGAAAGGTCGCTCTGCAATATGGTGGCCGGAAATATGCATCTGGGGAACACTCCCACATCCGTAATATGCGCGGTATATACATGCTATGTCCTCTTTTCCTCACTCTCTCTGAGGTACAACCCTGAAGAAAACAGCGATAAACGAAAGGTAGAGTAAACCAAACCAAATGAGCATTATGCCTGACATATTTTTTGTAGCTATAACGTTACAAAAGCAGAATTTGGAAATGGTTCTTATGGTCAATGTGAGAAAGCCAATCCATATTTTATGGTCAATCTATTTGGCATGATCATCAACTGCTATTTGACACCCAGTCGACAAAAAAATAGACGAAAAAAGTGTGATACATCCTCGTCACATTTGAGACGTCAGTCCATGAGCTTGTACCAGAAATTTCACTAAAAAATTTGTAAGAGCTACACACAAACCGTAGGATATACCTGACTGGATAAGCCACCAAATCTACTTTTCAAGGCCATAAATTTTGATAATCCCTTCTACAACGTGGATGGAAACTGTAATAGTCGTAATGTATGGCCAGATGGTGCTGCATCAAATGCTATAACTGAATAATCCATTGTCTGAACTAATCTGCAGTAAATCAAGATTTGCTTTAAAAACATATATATATATAGGCTATCAAAATGAAATAAATAATAACCAGGATATCTATCTTTATGCAGCACAATTTGTTAAGGTATGAAATCGATATGTAATAAATATGCCCCAAATAATCACACGATGATATGTGGAGAGCAAACAATTTGAAAACGATCGTAAACTAAACGGATAGAACCCAATCTAATAGACAGTGAAGGTTAGCGCAAGTTTTTGAGTCTCAGAAAGTGGAGAAACCACAGTATCTGTCAAGGGCGAAAGTTTCTAATAAAGACCATAGATTTCGACTAAAAAGATTTAGACAAGATGAAACAACACTCGCAAGAACTATGTCAAGATGATTTAGACAAAACTGCACTAAAAGGATCACTGAGGAATAGCCATATCAACTAGAAACCACAGACCAAAACTCTACAGTCTACAGAAAGACGATGGGATTTTAAACTGACAAAATCAATGGGCACATATTTCCCTTTCTATAAAAGATCAGAGATCAGACTCTCATTTTATCACATATAATGCAGAACGCCGCCTCTCAGGGGAAACTCTGGCCTTTAATCATTTGCCTGTCCCTCTCGTTCTAGACTGTCCGAAGGGTTGCATGCAAAATAACCCACCATAATTCACCATAATTGCCTTTGAATTTGAATGGATACTGTAAAACACAACACCATGTCTCGTCGACTATTCCAAAGGGCAGAGCCGAAGGGTTGTTTTCTGAAGTTGCTTCTGATTGATTTCTAGTGAGAATCCTAATGCCAGGTTTTTAACAAAACACTTCAAAGGCTATTCCACTTTCTTTCACGAACCACAAGTGTTATCTACGACGATAGACAGTCCTCCATGAAACCAGATGGCAAATTTCAGAACATCCTCGGACTCACTCCGGAAGTTCGTGCTCAGAGAGAGAGAGAGAGAGAGAGAGAGAGAGAGAGAGAGAGAGCAAAGTCCTCGTGTGGGACCCATCATCCTGTTCTGAGCCTAAGCTGTCATTTAATTAATCTCAGAGAGAAAGAGAGAGAGAGAGAAAGGGCGACGTTGACTTCTAGGTCGGGGATTGACCATATTCGCCAACTAAACTTGACAGATATCTTTCCTCCAGAAAATGATGGCGGATGGCGGCCAAAACAAAACCTCATGTGAGAATCCGGCATCGAATAGAGATAACAGAGCGGGTTTTGACCATTCCTTTTTAGTGAAGGGGGAAATCTTTGACCACCCCTTCCCAACGAGTCAAACCCGCGAGGGCCGGCCCGTAGCAACCCTTTCCCATGCGCCTCTCACTCTCTCTCACTCCCCTTCCTACTTTCGCCTCGTCAGCGCTGGAGATGAGGGAGACTTGGCGGGTTTCCGAGAGAGAGTGAGAGAGAGAGAGAGAGAGAGAGTGAAGAATAGCCGTCCGCCTTCTTCGTGTCCCTCCGACGGCCATTAGTGACGTGTCCACCGGAGAGTTCCTTGGGTACTCGTTTTAAAAGATTAAATGACCCCTTCCCGCCTCTTTCCCGCTCTCACCACGCGCGCTCGGCCGTTTGTGTCACTCTGCGGCCCGACGGCTTCCTTCTCCGTCTGTTCTCTCCTCCCGGTAAGAGACAGAGAGAGAGCGAGAGCGAGAGAGAGACAGAGCGAGAGCGAGAGAGAGACAGAACGAGAGAGACAGAGAGACAGAGAGACAGAGAGACAGAGAGAGGGGCGGTTCTTGCGTCGGAGATCAGGTACGTTATTTCTATCGTTCGTTGCTCTGTTTCTCTTCTTTCCTTTCAGCAATGTGGATTCCTTCTGTACCCATCTTTCCTCCCGACGCTCAACCGCCCTGCTCGTTATTCAGGCATTCGTTTTCCTCTGTTTTTCAGTCTCTCCTTCGGGCTGCGATCAAAATCTTCCTCCCTTCTGAGAATTCGTCACTTTTCGATAAAATCGCCAGCTATGGCATCAGATTGTACGTCCATGAGTACTGTTGACGAGCTGTCATTAAATTGGAAACCGAAGCGGGAGCTTGCTCAAGTGACATGTATTTCGCACAGAACAATCTCAGGGAAGAATCACAGGCCCCTGAAGACCTGTGATCAAATTCCTCCATCATCCGAGAGTCTTCTGTCTCCCAATAGAGCACTTCGTGCTGCCCTGTTGAAGAGCCGATTTGCAGATACCATCCTTAGAGCCCAAGAGAAGGTGGTTCTTCACAACGTATCATTTCACTACATAACCTTCACTCTTTTTAGTGAGCTCTGCTGACCATCCATGTTGAGACTCTCACCTCTTCTCTCTTAATCAGTGTGAGAGAGGTGACCCAGAGAAGCTACAACGGGAACTGAAGGATCTGAAACGGAAGCAGCGGGAAGATAAGGGTCAATGCTCTGCCCATCACGTAAACGGATGAAGGAATTTCTTAGTTTGAATTCACACTGCATTCTAACGACCTAATTCGTTCTTTGATCCAATAGAGAGGAGGAGGATCGAAGCCCAAGCCAAAGTTACTGAAAAAGCGCTCAAACAGAAGAGGCAAAGGAAAAGAAAAGCGGCTCGATTGAAGATACAAAAGGTAACCTCTCTCCCCCGGCCCCTAGTTTCAACTCTTTCTCTCCTGCCAAGTAAGGCATTTTCCCGGCCTAATTGAACTCAAGGTGGTTATGTTGACTCTTCAGATAGAGAACAGTGGAGATTAATGATTGCTACGAGATATGGGAGGATCTTAAGAAGCTGGGTTATGCTCAGTACGTGGACCTTTCAGCCAAAGATCTGGCTGATTTGAATGATAGATGTCATTGAATTAAAACTTGGTCATGAAAGGCTGATTTAGATGAAGTCACAAACTGAGCATTGGCCTCTGACAATTGTTGTAATTCAAACAAGTGGGTGTCATATTCATTCATCCATCATCCATCCTTGATTGGATATTCAAATCCTTTTGTATTTCTTCTCCCACCCCTCCTTGAGATTACAAGTGGGGGCAGGTTGCTACAATAAATGATGATATTATTTTTTCTTTGATCAGGGAAAAATGCCCTCATGTTTTTTTTTTCGGTTACAACTCTGGTTTTCATCATGAAGTCAAATTAATATTTTTCTTTCCCATGATTTGGGTCAATGGGTAATCGAATCATTTTCCAAGGCTTAATTTTTTCTACTCTCACGCATGCTTTGGGTTGTCTAATTGCCAAATTTTGTCCTAGGTTTAATTTATAAATACAAGAAATAATTATCTAGGTTTAATTTAAACCTCTAGCCCCTAAAGTAAAAAAGGAACCTGCATCAATCTCCTGCACAGATCCAAATGGTGATCGGAAGGTATATGAAACACATAATCATCAATCGTGTGATTTGACTTTTCACTCAAATATCTAAAATAATTCAGAGCAGCAGCCAATTTCGGTGCAAGAATAGTCAGTAGACGTGCATCATTGGAATCGCTTTAGTTACCCAATAAACAGAACAGAAGGGTTGATTTCTCAGAGAACATGATTATTTCCATCTTTGGCAAAAACCATAAGTTTAAGAGACAAGGGGGGAGGAGGGGGAATTACTTAAAATGAAAATAATCATTTAATTAGTTTAATGAAAACAGAAATTTACACTTTCCTCGATTTGTGTACAAAAAAAAATATTTGCGGCCAGTAAGTGGACAAGATAAGAGAATATCCTCCCATAAGTAGCCATCTGCTATCAAAAAATGTTGTATCTAGACGCTGGGACCCACAGGAAAGCCTGCCTATTCTTTTATCCACGCATCATCACAGATCAGGCAAGAACCGGATCACCGACCGCGATAGTCAAATAGAAGAACAGATGCATGTCCCGACGAGAGAACACTTGATGCCACCTGTAAGTTCAACCAGTAGACAGCCGTTCATTGCGTCTGTAGGCCATTCCGAAAATTATCATCATATTCAAGTTAAAACAAAGCACAATAAAGAAAATCAAAGGCACCCTGACTCCAGGATCTCCAAATAACAAAAATCTAGGAATAAAATAAAATCATCCAAATTCATTGGCAGAAAAAGGTTTTCCCCGAGCTGCCGTTGGGGTAATAACAACATATCAGATGGGATATTTAAAATTTTCAAAACATGGCAATATAATTTGACCGCCGGAGAACCCAGACTAACTTTTAGTCAAACAATACAACTCCAACGAGAGAACCTAACACTGCATACTCCTAATGCTTCAGCTACCGTGGCATCCTATTTGGAAGTGGATGTTCCTCTCTCAAATTCTTCAAAGCAACACCAAAATACGACATCTGTTTTGTCTCTATTTAATACCTTTATGATCAACTGTTTATTCTCTTAACACATGATTTTAAATTTTATATATTTTAATAAATACACTGTTTTATTCATTCAGAATTTGTCTTTATTTCATAGTAGAAAGAAAAGAGTTGGGACACTAAATTCCTTGCTCCAGAAGTTTGGTGAATGGAGCTGTGTGGAGCAGCAACAGCTCATCCATCACTTCTGGGTTTTAGGAAAGCATGTCCTAAGGAGGCGCCTTGAAGGAGGCACAAAAAGGGGCCCCAAGGACACTACGGAGGATGCCTCTGATGCTCAAGCTAATTGGCGGCGTGGTGTAAAAGAGGCATAGAAAACTACAAGGTAGCAGCTGTCTCTAGAGAAATTTGCAGTAAAGCTCTAATGCATCGGCACCGAGTTCGGGTGAGGATGAGAACAATGTATGTATGTGACCGTCCTGGGTAAATCCCCCGCAGAGGGGATAAGGCTATGATGGACTCAACATTGACAACTGGCCATCTGTCAGTTCAAAGTGATGTAAATATTAAAATTCATAAAGGAGAAAAATTGTACATGATGATGAAATATAAAATAATCATGTCACAAAGAGGGGGGTACTCAGTGATTGGGCCATGGTAATAACAATAGCACAAAGCCTAGCAACTTATCTGGTGCATAGAGGCTTGTGTGACCTACCCATGTTATATACACGGGATGAAGTCAGTGGAATGGATAAGGTGAGAAAGAACTGAGCAACTATGCACTGAATCAGAAATAGAAGATGAACAGTCAAAAAAGGCTTTAAAAGGGAATGTCAATGTAGATGGAGAAGGATGACTGAATTGGCCCGATAAGAAAAGAACGGCCAGCAGCAGGCCAGCTGCTGGACTCTAGATCCTCCTGCGGTGGTGAGCAGCAACAAGGGGCAGAGGAAGAGGCCAGAACTGGAGAACAAAGATCAGGGAAAAGGAAGAAGGAACCTGGGCAAGCAATCAGAAAATACAGCTTATTTCGTGTTGGCATGTCTGAAATATGTTATGTTACAACGCTTGTATGGTATTTCACTGATTTTACATGATGCGAAGGTTTTGGTCACTCCATTTTTATAAATGCAAAAGCATCGACTTTGCACCATTCAATTAGATCAATGAAGCTTCAAAATCCCTCCACTGAGTCCAAAAATTCTCCCTAATGCCTATCCACACTCTTCCACAATGCAAGGGATTAATTGGAAACATTATGAAAAACTATTTTCGTCAACAATGGGGGTATATGATTCGCAAAAAAATCAGAAACGCAGAAAAAAAATCAGACAGTCATAATTGGAGACATTCAAATCTTACAAACTGTTATACCAGGGAAGCATCATCTTACAATGGAAAATGTACATAAAAACGCAAGTACTGATCACCATGGTCCACAAATCCAGGACACTTTGGAAAACCTGGTACGAAATATTGTAGAAAAAACAAAAATCTGTGGTAGTTCACTTTGGCATATCTCTGAATGTAAATTCTTCAGTAGATATACCACTCCTTCTAAGGACCAACAATTGCCCTAGTTGGAATCCTTTCGGTATCTGAATAGAAAATAAGATAATAGAAGCAACCATCTTATTGGAACATTTTCCTCTGAACTTACATTGAAAAGAAAAATCGAATATCTAAACTTACATTTTCCCCAGGTGGTCATGGTGATTTTGTTTATGAGAGAAAGAACTTGTGTTGACAAGAGCACCCAGACTTACCTGTAAAAATCACAAAAAATACTGATATGGGACTAAACCTTGACGAGTGCTGGTCCAATAGAGCACCAATTGACCGTTGACCCGCCTGTCATGCGGGTGACGCGGGTTCGAATCATGTGTCTTCCACAGGTTAATCTAACAGATTTATAAGCGAAAGATGGCGCAAAATGACCGAAAAATCTTGGAAACGATCTGAAAATCATGGAAATGCTTGAAAAATCACATGAAAACGTAAGAATCAATCGGAAAAATCAGAAATTGCTCAGAAATATTTCATCATTTTTAGTATATAAATGAATGATGATCTGAAAATCGTGATTTGTTTGCGAATACTTCTCTCTTTTATCTAAAATTTGAATTAAGCTCCGTTACTAATTAATGAATGATTTATATACTAAAAATTCCATTTTTGAAAATAATTAGAGTGAAAAATGAGAGTCAAAGATTGAAGATGGAAAATAATAAAAAAATAGTTAAATCAAAACCAAAGGAGAGATTTTCAGATCTGAGTAAGAAAAAGGTAGGCTCCTTGCTCCTTTTGGGGGGGAGGGACGGTTGGCCAGAGAGCAGGAAGTTGGAAGACAAGGGAGAAGGCCGGAGAACAAGGGAACAACGATGAAGGTCTTGGAACTAACTGGCTGCAAATCAACTGAGTTCTTTGAATATTTAATTTTTTTATTATCTTATTTCATGCCTTTTCTATTCTTTGGATGACAGACATTGATCAGAGAGACCTTATTGTCAAATTAATTTAATTTAGGCATTTCATTCTTCTCATCTTCATGAGTGATAGACAAGGAAATGAGATAACTTTAGTTTTTATTCTTAGTCTTCATCATTGAAATTATGATTTTAATTATTTGTAATCTCTTTTCTCATCCTTGGGTGACATATAAGGAAAGGAAAATACCTTTACTTGGAAGTTATAAGATTTAAGTTAGATTTTATGTTTAATTAAAAGCTATCTTAATTTTAAACATTATTTTAGTTTACCCTTGATTGACAACTAAGGTATTTCTACATTATATTTAGGTTTATTTTATTTTATATCATAGTTTTAATTATTTCAAAGCATTATCCACGTCAATAGAAGTCCTTTTATTGAAAACTACCCTTCTTATCTTTTCATTCCATAATCTCTAATCTGTTTTCTATTATTTTGTATTTAATCATCTCATCATTAAAACCCTCTTTCTTATTATCTACAGCTGACAAAAGAATTAAATATACAAAATTAATTAGAGAAGGAGGATGTTAAGTTTTCAAGATAAGATTTTATTACTTATCTCATCTCATTTCATTTTGTTATTTTCTTTTTAGTTAGTATTCGTGTTAGAAAAAATAGAAATTCATCAAATCTAGTTCTCACCATCACCGAGGATCGACCCTAACTTGCACTAATACTAAAATTTATCTAGAGTTTATTTGTAAATATTGTTAAATTTGCATGCATTATGCAACTAGTTGAGAATGCTTGCAATTGACTAAGCATCAAGCCATTCAAGAGATGATTCCTTAAAAAAAAAAATAGCATTTGTGATTTCTAAATGAGAAACATTCACAAGGAAAAATTACATCAAATATATTAACATAAGAAATACCACAAAATTAAAATAAATTTCAAGATCTCAAGATCATTGACCCAAGTATCTACCTTGAAAAAAAATGGTTCTTGGAAAATTCACAACCATATTTGGCCTCAGGATATTTCGAAACTATCATGGAACCAAGTGAGGAAAATTTTATTTTCCATCAAACCTCCTTGTCTAATTAAGAAGGAAACATATATTAAT